TTTCCGTTTTTAAAAAACAAACTCCCATAAATTTGAAAGCGGTTGATGAATTCAATAGATTCGTGTACTTATCAATACCATGGAGATGTCAATGTAAAATTTCTATAATACTACAGTGACGGACCTGATCCAGTGGAAAAAAACGTACCATGTTGCATCCGGGAAGTATCAAAAAATGCGACAAAATGCCTCCCTGTCCAACTAAAAAATCTCCGTTTTGAAAGGAAAAGAGTGGGCGCGCTTCTGAAATCGGAGTTTTCCAGTTGGAGAGGGAGGTATTTTGCTACTTTTTTGATACTTCCCGGATGCAAAATGGTACGTTTTGTGCCACTGGTTCAGGTCCGCCACTGTAGATTACATGAGGGAAATCGTAGTTCTAATCAAAAAATATCGGATTCCCGCAAGTGTCGGGACGCTAGAATATTATTTGTTTTCCCAGTGATCAAAGAACTACTCCTTTTTTGATATATACATTGTAATATCCTATCTATCACTATCTCTAACAATTTATAAAACGTCTAATTACGTCATCATTGGCAACGAAAACCAAAGAATTCTTGGAATGAACTAAAGTAATGTTCTTTGCAGCAGTTTTTTTCTTCTTCAACTCATATCATCAATTCTGGGAATTCCCCATTTTCAATTCTGCCTTATCAATTTCAAACCCTGACGGTCAGGGTTTTACGACTTTTGGGGACTTCAGACAATATGCCCATTTGCTATCTTGAAGAAAGCTATTTATGAATAGTTTTTTTGGGTTGCAAGAAACTTCTAAATGCTTGCAAGAAACTTCTAATTCCCTTGTTTTCATCTCAATCTACGTGTCGACTCATAAGAAACTTCCCTATCAAAAGTTTGGCTCCTAAAATCCCATACAGCTGACTTGCGATAACAGTATTTGCACACGGCAGTTTCGACATTACAAACCGTTCTAATAACTTTCTTTCGTTGTCACGCGGTTCTTTGAAAATCGCCAAACAACATCATCAATCAAGTTCACGTGATTCCGTCGCTTGATGAAAGTACACAACAAAAATTTAAAAATTTCTTGCAAAAAACCCTTTATTTTTTAAGCTTATTAAATTTTATCTTTAAAATTTTTCAAAAATTAAGCCTTTTCAAGTCTAATAAGATAATAAATACAGACTTTTAGCCGCTGAAAAGGTTAATCCGGTCCAAAAATTCAACTTGACTCAACAAAATTAATATTTATATCCTCCTAAACGACAGCAGTTACTGTGGTCCGTAAACAGAGGGAGATGACTCACAAATAACCGTATGTGTATTACTGAGTCATGAAAAAAGATCAACGGGAGTCCGTGGGATTAATATGTGTGGAGTTGAACACGCAATACACCCCCGTTCATGAATGGGATACAAAATATACGAGAAGGGAGCAAGAAGGAAGCAAATCGAAGTGTTCCCCTTCAAAATACAACGTCAAAAGACCATTGGCCGTTGTGACAAAAGTGGTGAGAAATGAAGGCAACTGAAACGTGACCTCTGCACTTGAGAAAAGAAAACTTCACGTTGCACTGTGCGCTTTTATAAAATTCGAAAAACGCACAGTGCAACTTGAAGACGTAGTCTTAGACACATTTTAAGGTCACTCCACAAATTTGTTAATAGAAATTTTCACATCCCAACTTTTCAGGTCAAAGACAGTTTGGGTCAACTCAAAATGGATCGATACTGGGCCTAGGGCAGGTGGATACCCAAAAACGGTTGTAGGAAGTGCCTACGAGGCCTGGCAAAGCCGTTTGATGGTCGGCGAAGGCTCGGCGGAGACTTGGCTAAGACTTGCCAACGGCTGACCGAAATGGTCCATAGTCGTTGACCCGAAAAGTCGTAAAAGCCCTCACATCAATAATATCTGGATAAAAGTTACGGATCTTCTTTTTTTGCCTCAAATTCTGGTAATTTAAAAATTACACTGCCTCAGGATAACAAAATTACAGCTAATAATAGCTAAAATTAGAAGAAATGGCCAAGTCTCCGCCCAGCCTTCGCCGAGCCTTCGCCGACCATCCAACGGCTTCGCCAGGCCACCTAAGCCTTCACCGACTACCCAAATTTTATGGCCATTCTTTTTCCCATTTCGTACTCACAATTTTCGAAAAAAATCATGACCTTTTTCATCAAAAAATGTTAAATTTTGATCAAGTTTCGGACCAAAAATCAAAGAATTGACCTGAAGTTGCGCCAAGTTTCAGAAACAATGGATGTACTAAAAGTTCGACGCTCAATTTTTTTTACCATTTAGATGATATTTTTATGAAATTCCACCGCACAGCTAAAAACGTTTACTTCGACCAAGTTTTACATGCTCTTTCGGAATATCGCGGTCTCTTCTTGAAATAGCACATTAATTTGAGGCCATTCCTTTATGCAGTTTCCGGAAATTTGTCGCCGCAAAAGGACATACTGATAATTCGAATGTTCGTGCTGACGTAGGAAGGGAAAAGACGTCTAATTTCGCTGAAATTGATTGTAATCTTTATAGCCATCTTTTAGCATCGAAATTTCTTATTGAATGTGATATTAGAAAGTTCAAAGGCAAGGTTGATTTTGTGGCCACTCCTGTAATTTACGTCAGAAAACATTGCAATAGAAAATTATTATAAAGTTCAAAGGTAAGATCAAGTTTCGATAACCACACCCACAGACCAAGTACGTCTTAAAAAAACCATTTTTTCTGTTTTTTGGTCTATCTTTTTGCCAAATAACTAATGATTACTTAATAATGAGCAAAATCTTGTAAGGGCGCTACGACTTTTGACAGTTCTGGTCAACGATACTATGTATCGTGTCGGTTTGTTACTGTATGCACGAGGGAGGCTGGGAAAAGGCTTAGTTAGAAGAAATAATAAGACTGATCGGGTCCTAGGATAGCTTATCACCTATTTTGAGGCCTTTTACATGTATTTACATCAATAATGTCTAGATAAAAGTTACGGATCTTCGTTTTTTGCTCCAAATTTTGGTTTTTAGTTGTTACAATAACCCAGGGATGAAGTAAACTGACGTTACTCATAGCTAAAATTAGAAAAAGTGGATATGTTGCAAGCTTTCGCCGAGTTCCCGCCGAGCCTCAGCCGGCTATCCAACGGCGTTGAAAGGCCTCGTGAGCACTTCCTACAACCTTTTTTTGGGTGTCCACCTGCCTACGCCCGTATCGATCGATGTCGTGTTGACCCGAACTGTCTTCGACCCGAAAAGTCGGGACGCAAATCTAAACCCTTCACAAAGATCGTCCCATAATTAGTGGTTTTTTCAAAGTTTTCCGACTCTTTTTTTCGGTTTGTTTAAACTGATAACCGTTGCTTCCATTATTCTTTCATTTTTCATCGGCCGAGGACAAAGTCGGACCAAATAACATCGATAAGGATGTACGTCAATGGTCGCCAATCAGGTTAATTAATGTTGAGGGAGATCCTCTCTCCATCGTTTTGACCGATTGCGTCATTGCTTGCCAACTTCCGTTGCAACGGCCGGTTGATTGTTTGATTTACCAAAGCTCATGACCCAAGATGATAAAAATTTCATCACCCGGTTTGTATGTATTGTCATTTGATAACTGTTATCGGTGCGAGTATAAACCGAGTTTGTTTGTTTGTCATCAAATTAAAACCTTCAATTTTGTGGAAGATCAATGGTTGGGGGCACGGAGAAAGAACATGGCTTGTCAACGTAGAGTTGAAATAGAATTGACAAGGTTTAAAAGAAAAACCGAATAAGGAAAATGAACATTAGTACAGTCAAAATATTATGCTACTGTACAAAGATCTCCAGAAAAAATGAAGAATTTAGTTACTGTCGAAGGGTCTGGGAGGACGGAGCTCCATTTTGTCTTAAAACTGACTCTGTAAACCATAAGCCAAGATATTCAACCGTCTTTGCCGACAAGAGGGTACAGCAAAAAGGAGTGAAGAAGAAGATGAACTCTTTTTAACATATCTTTGCGCATCCAGCCAGGAAAAAAACTGGATTGCTGGAAAACATTGCGTTTCTCTTCAAAAATGAGATTACAACATTCCATGTCAATATGTCTTGCAAGTATACATGTAGTATTTGATGCAATTTGCCCCAATTTCAACAGCAAGAAATGACTCCGCTGCCAAATCAGTCATTGCCTGCTATCGGTTGGGTTGCCATCAGAGATTGCCACGGCTTCGGAGCCGGCTCTTGGCTCCGGCTCTGAGCGGCTCCGAGCCCAAAGTCGGAGCCAGGCTTCTCAGCGTTCAAAAAAGTAAAAATTTTATGATCTTGTTAAACCAAATTGCTTGAAAAATACTGGGAAGGGTGTGTTGCATACGACTTTGGCTGCAAAAACGTTGGGTGTATGATCTCTGGCACTAATAACTTTTATATTGGGAAAAATATTTTTCAAAATTTTTTTGGGCGGGAGCCGGGATTCGGAGCCGGAGACCTTTTTAAAATTTTCATGGGAGCCGGGAGCCGGAGCCGGAGCGGCAAATTTGGCCTCGGCTCCGGCTCTGGGAGCTAAGAGCCGGAGCCGGAGCCGAAATTTTGACCGTGGCAATCTCTGGTTGCCATCTGAATCAGCTTCCGTACTATTCCACTACACAATGCAATAGTTTTTTTTTTGAAATTTTAATTTCCTATTTTATTTTTATAGCTAGTATATGGTAAGGGTTTGGGACAGAAATGGGTCATATTAATTATGTGTTCAGAGAAGGGGAAAAATTATTTTTTATATAGAGGGTTTTGGCAGGTTCATTATGGCCTAAAATCGAGTCATCGTTTTTGAAAATTTTTGCTGTACAGTGGCGGACCTGATCCAGTGGAAAAAAACGTATTCTTTTGCATCCAGGAAGTATCACAAAATGAAGCAAAATACCTCCCTCTCAAAGTTAAAAAACTCCGATTTCAAAACATCTGTTTGTACATACATATAGCACACTCATGGTTTATTGTACAGGACATATCACATGAATCGCAATTGCCGCAAAGATTTTATGGTCTAAATTCATTTTCTGTCATCCCATTCTCCTCCAATTTTTCTCAGCAACCGGAACACTGAAATCCAAAACGAACGCGCTCTCATCTTCATCAATATACGCAAGCCTTGACTGTTGCCGGACCTGCAGTGGATTCGAAAACGACGGCTTTTTTGACGGAAAATTTTGCAAAGCATTTCCTTGAAGGTCCAATAATCTCACATTATTGTTGACAAATTCGCAGATAATCATCGACGCTGTAACAAATCTGGCGTCCACAACGCCGGGCACGGTAAAACTTGTGTTGAATTTGAGTTGAGTGTCGGATTTCATATCGAAAATCTAAATGAGTCATGATTAAAATGGATTAATTAGGTGTTTAATTTGTGATGGAAATGATATCATAATTTTAATGCTTTCCAAACGGTCCCTTTTGTGGAGAGTCATGCAGCAAGATAAGAGAAATTGAGAACGGGAAACTCCAAATGGCACGCTGCTGTTGTTTTCTCAAATTCTATAGGCGATAGATCGGAGAGCAAATCTCAAATTTTGGAGGTGTAAAAGTTTTGGTTGGAAAGGGACCGAATATGGAAAGGTTTTCTTATAAAATTTCGTAGAATATCAAGGTCCTGCTTTGACAAGGATCATCAAATGTTAGCAAACGAAAATGAGACCACTCTATGACTCAAATTGCAGTAAGAAGATTATGAAAAATTATGATAAAAGATCTAGGAGTTGTTCAAAGTTCGTCGTTCATAGTCCCTTTATTCTTTGCACGCAAGTTTTGAACAACCCACAGCCCTTGTAAATCTTAGTTAGCGCTTTGCAAAGGCAGCCGAGGTATTCAACAATTTTTTCCGACGAGATGGTCCCTATAATACGATGAACATTCAGTGAGAAAAGCGTTGTTAAAAGCACTATTCTCTGCCAGTTTATTTCGGACAGCAAGCTTGGAGAAGGGCCAAAGAAGAAAATTTTTTTGCTACTATATACAGGGTCTTACAAAAAACGTGAAGGAAAGTGGAAGGCTATAACTTCCGGCCGAGGCGGCGCAGAGACTTCGTATTTGCAATATGTATTTTTAAAAGACATAAGTTTTTGTCTACGAAATAACAAGCTTTTAGAGTGCAAATTGAGGTCACTACGACTTTCTGAAGTAGAGGCATCTCTACCCCGAAAACCAGGTTTTTTTCGGTTGAAAATGATCTAGAAATTTCGGTCTTTTTCGGTTCAAAATCACCAGGAAATGTCGGATTTTGTGGGGGGTTTCGATATGGGTGGTGTTTAAAAAGTATGAGGAAAGTGCCAACACTTGCAAATTATGCACGTTTTCTTAAAGATTATATCAAGAAACTCCAAAAAATCCGACATTTCTCGATCATTTTCAACCGAAAAAAACTGGTTTTCGGGGTAGAGATGCCTCTACTTCAGAAGGTCGTAGCGACCTCAGTTTGCACTCTAAGAGCTTGTTATTTAGTAGACAAAAACTTATGTCTTTTAAAAATACATATTTCAAATATGAAGTCTCTGCGCCGCCTCCGCCGGAAGGTATAGCCTTCCACTTTCCTTCACGTTTTTTGTAAGACCCTGTACATAGTTTCGTGCGGAAAAGATTTTGGACACTTCTATGGATATTTCCCCCCACACGACAAAAAATCACTTTCAAAAGCCAAACAAATCACTGTCATAACGTCAATTCCCTACCCTCAATCTGCTCCTTGAGTCACAAGTTGCCACAAGTCCATCCATCGCATCTAACGTCTTCAATTCTAAATCCCCCTCTTCATCATTTATCCTGATCCTCTTAAAGTCCCTCTTGCCAACTATCGTGGAGATTGCCAACGCATCTTCACAAAGATAAAGCCACGTTGAGTCGATGAAGAAACTCGAATACACGGATTTCAGTTCGATATTCTTGTGGGGTTCTCCATTGAGAGCGTTGAGAATGGTGAGGAGATTGTCTTGCTGATACAGTAGATACAACGAGTCATTTGAAAATTCGATTTTTTCAATCAAACACGGCCGAGATTTTGATTGGTATATCAGTCGTTGGGTTTTGAGGTCGTACAAGGTGAGGCGATTTCGGCCAAAGGCAACTCTGAAAGCGAGAGTTTCAGGGTGGAAGATATTGCAGTATACAACGCTGAGATTTTAATGAAATTTGACACAAAATTAGATGGTTGGTTTCTAGGATATATGCGACATTTTTATCTTGCGCTTTGCAGAAAAGAACCGAAATTTTTAATACAAAAGTTGATAAAAATTCTGTACCAGTCTGTCGAAATATAAAAAATAATGATCATAATGTCGCTGTCCCCGTTAGACATGGCTAGTGGGCCGGGCCGAACGAGTTTTAAAGGCCCGGGGCCGGGCCGACCTCTTCCGGCCCCCGCCAGGCCCCCAATCGGCCCCCAATGACTAAAATTCCCAGTCTCAAAGCGAAAATTAGGGTTGCCAATAAAAATAAAACGCAGAGCCAAGAACCGATTGGGTCTTTTGAAGTATATACATGGCAATGGTTGGTAATTTTTTGTTTCAAAAAATTTTTTTTCGATTGTTATAACAAAAAAATGGGGGCTAAGGTAGTACAACCCTCAGTCCAGTTCAGCCCCCGCCCCCCCCCTTTCGATCATCGTTGCCTGAACCACAAGAATGAATTTGGACGGTAACTGGGGGTTTGAGCTAAAACGCCGGTGGTCATTTTACTGTAATTTCCATTTTTTGTATTATTCTAATTTTTTACTTATGGGGTGTGTGAAATGGACAAACAGTGGGGGTTTGAACTACTAAAGCCCCAAAAAATGTGTTATATCTCGTAATGAATGCAGTATTTATATTTACAGTTCGGCCCCCTGGGGGACGGGCCGGGCCGAGAAAATTTGAAGGGGGCCGGGGCCGGGCCGACCTCCTCCGGCCCCCGGCCCCCTTCAAATTTTTTCGGCCCGGCCCAGCCCCCCCAGCCATGTCTAGTCCCGGTCGCCTCGCCGAAGTGAAGAACAATTGAATTTTGGCGGGACACAATTCATTTTCTCGGCGGAGATTTCAGCGTGACATTATGCTCATTATTTTTCCGACAGACCGATACTATCTTGTAAAAATGTCAGCCGTAATTCTATTGAAGAAGGTAAAGGATTTTTCCACGGAAAATGGGTAAATTCATGGCCTAACCCTGATTTATTCTCTGACCGCTCTCCGCACGTTACATACTCTTTTGTCGACAAGCTAAAGCTTTCAAAATGTTATGCTTAATTTATGTGAAAATTTTAAAGGAAAACTTGAAAATAGCTCTTATCGTTGGGAAAATTATTGTCACTTATCCAATTTGTGGCACTCACCTCAGCTTGCTAATCGCTGGCCGACAATGAACGAAATCTTCTGGATAGCAAATCTCCAGCGCAACACATTGATTCCAGTCCTCATCGACCCCACACACCTTGACAAACCCATCTATGGCAAAGAGAATCGACTTCCCTTCATTGCCAAACAAAATGTGCGGTTCTAGAGTGCTGCTGATGCTGTGGAAGTCGGGAAACTCGGCGATTATCTAAACAAAGCTTCGTATTTGCAAAAAACAGCCTTTCTCTCACCCTATTCCCGCTGATCGTCGCGACATGCAAGCTCTTTTCGGCAGTAAAAATACAGGCGATGTCATCATGCAATCGAAACCAGATCACTTGCAGATCTTCCACTCTAACATCCAAGAATCGAGCGTTCAATTTGCGCCAGTTACTCTCGATCTTAAAATTGCTGTAAGCTCTTTATCCAAACGGATATCGAACTTACCGGATGGCTATGGACTTCCAATTACTCGAGGAAAAGTTGATATTCAGATTTTTCATGTCAAGAAGAATGTCTGTTCGATAATTCTTCCCACGGCGGTTATTGTCGTCGCTCAGAAGCCGCCGCCAGCGGCGACAAACCTGGACGGCGCGATACAAGGTGCATGGCGGAAGATAGCTGGCAATTTCGAGGAGAAGCTGAAAAAATCAAGAGATGACGCATAAATTTCTGGCCAAAATTTTCAGGAATGAGTACACAATCTCAATGGTATAGAAAAAAGTCCTAGCTTTTCCTATTGAACTCCTTCCCTGATAACAAGGAAGTATCCCAAGTGCGAGGCGCAAATTTTCTTTAGTTTTTAGCATACTTCGGGCATAGGCCGTATATCAAGTCTTGAAAATTTTAGCGCGCGGTTTGCAGGCACAGTCGAGCTATTGAAGAATCGTTGCCGCCGAGAGAGTATGCGAAAAATGGAGAGTGGTCAGAGATAAAACCACTTTTTCTTTTCCGCAAGGAAAAAAAGTATTTTTAGAAATACAGTATGCGTCATAATTATAACCGCACTTTAAAAATGAGTGTAACTTTTGTGATTGTGAATAGAAATGTGTCATATTTGGCACCAATGTGCATCACTGTACTAGAAATGATGACCCAAAAAATTATTTTGAAGAGTTTCCGTATTTTAGAGAAAAGCTGCAAAAACCAAAATTATGATACTTTTCGGTGTCGCAAAATTATAACCGCACTTGCGAATTTGGGGTACTAGCCTAATAAAAACACAGGATATCAATAACTGATGTTTAGTTACGCTCACTGAGGCCTCAATAACGCCCATCACACGACCCGAAACCCTCTGGGAATTTTTTTTTGGCGCATACTGACCCTGAATCGGAAAACGGGAGATTTTCGCTCAGTTAGACCGTTGGGCTCAAGTTGTGAGGAACTTCCTGGTCGTCTCGGAAGCCTTTAACAGATCTAAATGTTATGGCAGACAAAAGTTGACCACTGCTTCTGGTTGAAGAGAAATAATCCGCCGGACTTCTAACTCCGCCATCTTTGGGGTTCACTTAAATCAAGAACTGAGCTTCATTAGTAGCGGAAGCACCGTGCTGAGGGTTGGAAAACACAGCGACGTCATCATAAGGTATTATGTGAAGCTGTGACCCCAGCTGACCCCGGTTTACGGCAATCCACAGCCGAAATTTGCCAAGGAGACATTCACAACAGAGGTTGATTAGTGGAAGGTCGCTGAAACCGACGTTAGACCGTTGCAATACCATATTCTTTGTGGATTGCGTAGTCACACGATGCCCTGACGGTTTTACATACCAAAGGCATGACATTAATAACGTATCGCGTCGCTTCTCGTGTCGTAATTTTAGAGGCCGCCCGTTGATGACTTGGGGCGCCTTCAAAAAAGCCGGAGGCCTTCCGTCCGCGGCCACAACAACTCAAATGAATAGCTTCGAGTACCACGAAGTCTTAGGCGAACATCTGGTACCGTACTGGCAATCTGGCTATACTTTTGTTGGAGAATGCCCACGTCCACCATAGCAGGTCGACATACCAGTTCCTTTGACAGCAAGGCATTTGCCACCATAGACTCGCTCGCCTATTCCCTGGGTTTAAATCCGACAGGAAACCTGTGGGGCCTCCTCGCCCGTTGATTACATCGCTACAACAAGCGGTATTCTACCGTAACTAAGCGAAAATCTGCCGTTTTCCGATTCAGGGACAAGATGGGTCAGTATGCGCCAAAAAATTTTGCCCAGAGGGTTTCGGGTCGTGTGATGGGCGTTATTGAGGCCTCAGTGAGCGTAACTAAACATCAGTTATTGATATCCCGTGTTTTTATTAGGGTAATACCCCAAATTCGCAAGTGCGGTTATAATTTTGCGACACCGAAAAGTATCATAATTTTGGTTTTTGCAGCTTTTCTCTAAAATACGGAAACTCTTCAAAATAATTTTTTGGGACATCATTTCTAGTACACTGATGCACATTGGTGCCAAATATGACACATTTCTATAAACAATCACAAAAGTTACACTCATTTTTAAAGTGCGGTTATAATTATGACGCATACTGTATTCCCCTCTACGGTAGTAAAAGGCATGAAAATTTTAATGCCAAAATTCTCCAAAAAGTGTAGCTTTTTTGCAGACTTTTGATCTAAAAATGTTGGTCATATCTGCAAAAGCGAGCTGGGATTCTTGTATATGCCTTATTGTTAGAAAAAATATTCTAGCATGGGAAGTACCCCAAGTACGGCGCGTAGATTTTGCTGAAATCTGGCACAAATTTAAAATAATTTTTTCTTGTATTTCTAGAAACAACCGAGACAAAAAGCTTCATGCCTAATTCTACTGCTGAGAGTAATGTTTCCACAAAAAAATACTTTTTTTTCCGCACGAAACTAACAAAGTTATGACCAAAAAGTGTTTTTCTCTCTGACCGGTTTCCGCGTTTAGCGCACTCTCTCGGCAGCAAAGATATAAAGAAAATATGAGCGTCGCACTTGGGGTATTTCCCTTGTAAATTTATATAAATTTATGCCACGTTTCATCAAATCCTAAGAGCCACTTGGAAGCCTTTCCTTATAAGTTAAAAAAAGTTACAACAACTGCGTTCTACATCTACACTCACCTCATTCGGCAAAACATCGAAATTGGTCATCGAATCGCCAGAACCAATGCCATTGATCTTCCAGCGGGTCGCTGTTCCACCAGCTGACACCAGCATCACGGAAATGGAAATCGAAAGGATCCCGAAAGTATTAACAAGCGTTCCGCTGTTCGCCGACGTCTGCGATGACCTCGTTTTGCTAACGCGCGCGATCTTCTTACCCTTTCAATTAGAGATTCAATCGCTAAGCGGATGTCTTGCCTCTTATGTCAATATTACAGCCTCTTTAGAAAGTTTAAAAATAAGTATTATAAATGTAATTAAGTTTACTTTTTTACGCAATAAAATATGGTTATGACAATATTTACACATAGATCATGTGACCATTTTACAATTTCAATTATTAGTAATCGGGATTTGCAGAGTTTCCTTCGGGTTTAGTGCCATTTGAAGCAGGAGAGATGTGATGGGTAACATGTCATCTGAAATCAAAGCAAAATATGTATATTTTTGGGCGTATTTTACAATTTTTAGTTATCTATGTAATAATAGATGCTTACCCATGGCCAGCAACATCGGTAATCTTCGCCACTGCAGTCCGAGTTTTTTATACAAAGTTCCAAGGCACCTGAAAGATAAAAAAATTGTTTCATGCAGTCAAAACTCTGTATAACAAATCAGAAATAGCAAATCCTTTTTATAGAAGGGTTTTGTACAACAAAGGTCCAACAAAAATCTAAAATTTACTCTTGAGAGCTCCGACACTGTTTGTTATAGAGAGTTTTCATTGTAAAAGGGTTCGCTATAGATAAATTCTGTTCTGTTCTATAATTTTAGACTATATTCTAACAAGGGGACTCCAGCCGAGATATTCAAGGGTCTTTTTCGCGAGAGAGCACGCGAAGATAAGAGAGTCAATCAGACCAGAGACGGCTTCGTCAATAACTCTTCTGTTTTTTCTTGAAAAGCATTAGTATTTTAGATGTCTTTAACGTGTTGTAAATAAGCTTTCTGTATTACAAAAAACACTGTAAAATCGGCTCAAATTTTGAGGCATACAATTTTCTCTTTCCCACTTTTCTTATTATGTAAAATACGACTAAAAAAAACTCCTTCGAACCAATAACATACAGTCAAAGATTTGTACAACAAATCGCAAAAAATACAATCGCTATAGAATGGATTCGCTCTACGGAAGTTCATATAAGGTGTAAAAAGGGTTTTTCCGACCTTTAAAAATATTTTTTATTCCCAGGCATCGTATGGGACTTTGCTGTCCAGACGTTCCACTAACAGGGTGAAGTACCCCAAATGCGACGCTCAAATTTTGATGAAACTTGGCGCAAATTTAGAATAATTTTTTCTAAAATATATGCGAGAATCCTAGCTCGCGCTTTGCGGAAACAACCAAGATTTTTAGAAATTTGAAATTTTTTGCCGAATTTCGGCACAAAAAAATTCATACGTGTTTCTACCGTAAAGACTAATTTTTCCACAAAAAATAAATTCTTTCCACACAAAACTAGCGAAGTTATGGCCAAAAAAGTGTTTTTTTTTCTGACCGCTCTCCACGTTTAGTGTGCTCTCTCGACAGAAGAGGCCGTTCAATATTTCAAACAAACAATTCTGCTGCCACATGAAAACCCTTACCTTCAACCGTTCCAGCCAACATTATCATTGCCAGAACCACCAAAAATACGATGCACTTTGCGTCCATTCCTCTGTAAAAATATTGTATAATATATTAGTAAAAAAAAACAAAAAAATCTCCAAACAATAAGCGGGGGAGAACTGGTCACTCTTCGAAAGCGCCTCTTACTCACCGTAATTTCGAAAAAACGCAGAGAGCAAACGCAGTCGTGCAAAAATAGAAACCCCACTGCGCAGGATTTATTCGTCTCGATACTTTGCTTATTTTTGAAAAAGTTTATGCAGTGTTCAAAACATCTCCGAATCTGGGAATCACGTTAATCCGATTTTCAGGGAGGGGAATAAAAGTGAAAGAAGAAGATCGCTCTCAGCCGTAGTCAAAGAACTTTACTTTTGCTTTGTAAAAGTTGAGACTCGGGGAGCTTCGCGCGGTCCAAAGAAGAGTTGGAAAAAACTACAGTGACGGACCTGATCCAGTGGGAAAAAACATACCATTTTGCATCCGGGAAACATCAAAAAATGTGGCAAAATGCCTCCCTCTCCAACTAAAAAAAATTGAAAAAAAAATTGAATTCCCCTCGCAAGTATTTTGCTACACTTTTTAAAGATTCCCGATGCAAAATGGCACGTTGTTCGCCACTGGATCAGGTCCACTACTGTATGCAATTTTATGAAAATATTCAAATATTTTTTTAGAGAGGTTCACTAATATTCGGAGGACGTAAATTGCTCGCACTTTGCAAAAACGATCGAGATTTTTGGTCAAAAGTTGAAAAAATTAGATATTTTTTGGCTATTATAATTTTTTCACAAACAGTTTCATGGCTATTTCTACCATAGAGGGTAATATTTCCATAGAAAAATATTTTTTTCCGCGCAAAACTAGCAAAGTTATGGCCAAAAAATCCATAACAAAGAAAGATTTTGTTCTTTGCAAAGTTCAACATAAAAATCACGGTTGTTTCTGCAAACCACTGGCTAAAACTCTCGCATAATCCTTAGAAAATTCCGTTTTTAAATTTATTCCTAATTTAATTGAAATCTGATCTCTTCGTATTTCTACCGCGTCCCATCAAAAAAGACCCCTATACAGCGTAAAGAAGTCGAAATGAGACAAAACATCCTTTTTCTTACTCATTTCCTTTATAATAAAGCCTCTTACTCATACCGGAACGACTAAAAAACAGCGTAATAACAAACTGCGATAAGAACGGAGATAAATAAAAACGTATAGCAGGTAAATTAAAACCGCGACTTTTCAAAATTTCTTTAGCAAAAATTGCTCTTACCTGTGAAAAGGGTTTCTTGAATGACCCGATTCTTCCAAGGCGACTTGTTCAAACTGACCTTCACTTGTCAGAATGAGGAGACCGAGCACAGAGTCGCCGTTTAATGGTATGTAAAAAATTGACTATGTCAAGGTGATTTTTTTGTTAGTCATCGGTGAAAGGAGCTGCTCCAGGTGGTACAGAAAGCGGCTAATGATTCTGTTGTAAAACAAAGTGCTTTTTAATGACATTACTGCAAGATCGTTCCGATGTTCACGTTTGGTGAGGCCGAGGGCATTGAAGATGTCAAAGAAAGTGTCCCAAAAACGACGCAACGCTTACAAGGGAAGTACCACAAGTGCGACGCTCAGATTTTATTCAAACTTTGCACACAATTCGGGCATAGACTAAATATCAATTCCTGAAAGTTTTAACTCGCGCTTTGATGGCGAAGCCGAGATATTGAACCATCTTTGCCGCCGAGAGAGTACGCCAAACGCCGAGAGCGGTCAGAGAGAAAAACACTTTTTGGGCATAACTTTGCTAGTTTGGCGCGGAAAAAATTGATTTTTTGTGGAAACACGAACCTTTACGGTAGAAATATGGATACAACTTTTCGTGCCGAAATTCAACAGAAAGTCTGAAATCTTTTGTCGATTTTAAATCTAAAAATCTCGGTGGTTTCTGCAAAGCGCGAGCTAGGATTCTCAAGTGCAGAGAACGGTCATAGGCAAGAAAAAACTGTTTTTTTTTTACTAGACCGCTGTAAATTCCATACGAAAGTCGTCATTTTTTGCGAAACATTGCCCTTTCAACGGCAATGTTTCCAAAAATTAATGAAAACTGTGTGTAAAGGCTCTCAAGAAAGGATGAAATTAACCAACTTATGACAACGAAGTTTCCATTTGTTCAATGTAAAAAATAATGTAATGCTCAGAGTGTTTCACGCAGAAGTTTTACAAAAAATCGATCTCTTTCACATAAGATTCTCACGGTCAGACATATGGTCTAAACAAATTTTTATCTGGAATTGATATTTCAATTTTACGTGCTTGAGGGCCAGTACAGCTACTTTTTAACCGTGTTTTTTACGACATGGGAAACGAAGTGTCGATAAAAGCTTTTTCTTGTTTCCTGCCACGATAACAAAGTCGGCAAAATTGCAAATATTATCATAAATAGGCAAGGCAATTTTCTGGATATTTCATTTCCCAAGCCCTAAAATCGCGATTCAAACTTACAGGGGAAGTACCTCAAGTACGACGCACAGATTTTGATGAAACTTGGCACAAATTTAGTACAATTTTTTCTAAAATACATGCGAGAATTCTAGAGATTTTTAGCTCGAAAATCGGCAAAAATTTGAGACTTTTTGCAAAATTTCGACACGAAAGGTTTCGTACTCATTTTTTACCGAAAAGGGTAATGTTTCCACAAAAAATCAATTTTTTCCGCACGAAACAAACAAGGTTATGGCAAAAAGCAGCTTCTCTCTCTGGCCTTTTTTCCGTTTAGTGTACTCTCTCGGCGGCGAGAATTATTCAATATCTCGGCGGCGCCTGCAAAGCGCGAGCTAAAACTTTCAAGAATTGATACTTAGTTCATGACCGACGTGTGTGCAAAATTAAAATAAAATCTGAGCGTCGCACTTAGGGTACTTAAGTTGTGTGTTTCCTTTGACCAACAAAGGCTTTGTTGAACGGCCGCTGCAAAACTCAAGTTAAGACTTTGAAAACGTGATGTTAACCTTAATGACTGTGCAAAATTTAGAACAGATGTAAACGTCGAATATGGGGCACTTCCCTTGTAACTTTAAGCCGTTTTCCATTTACACACTTCAGTTTATTAACTCCTATTGCTCTCAATTGCTGTTACTTTGGCAACAAGATTTGCCACAAATTTGATGAGAAATCATATACAAAACCCTTATTGTGTCAACAAGAGCCATCCTCATGTGCGAGAACAGTTGTCGCAGGCAAATCACGCTTTTCTCCGCTCTTTAAAGGACGTTAGCCGCAAGCGAGGCACTTGGCAAGGACATTCGGCCCGATCAAAAAACCTTCGGCCGCCCTTAACCCGTTTACTTAGCAACTATTAAGTGCTAAACTACTATTTTGATTAGCAGATTTTTGGGAATTCTTCTAAAATTTGATTTTTTATCAGTAGTCGAAATGATTGTGGGTGAAATGTTAATCAAAG